AGTCCTGAACCTAATGCTATCTTAACAACCCAAATATCACATCATAATCAATCTCATTAGCTTTTTAATCGCCTAATTTGGCATATTATACTAATTACTTTCTCAGTTTCTGTCCATACACTTTTCTGTCCATATCATGGACTAGAATTTTCTAAACTATAGTCTTAACATTTAATTAAAAGTCTTAATTAGCCATACGTCTACCTATCACTAACTCGAGTCAACTTTATAGTTAACTTACCTATCTCATTTATCCTTAATCAAACAATATTCTCTTATTCAAGTCGAGTAAGATATTTATAAATTACTTTGATTTGTCTACCACTTGCTCCTAGCATATATTACACTTTGTTACTGTGAACCCCTACCCCAAATGTCATAGGCATGTGATGCATATGATAAAGGACAGAAATGCACGTGATGTGTGAGTCGCCACCTTGTTTAAACTAAAGTCGTCTCCTCAAACTTTTCCAACATTTGTGTCCTTAATTCAACTACTAATTGTCTACTTACTTCTTATTAACATCACCATTTCTCATTACTATCTTTTATCTTGTTCTCCTCAAACTTTCTTTTTAAGTTCTAACCACACTCATGATCAACTCACCTTGTTATTTCACCTAACTGGCCTTGTGATATAAATAGACAACTTACGAAAATGACTTTACATAATTAATCAATTTCAGATTATTTGTCATAACACAATTTAAATCCAATAATCAAATGGGGTTTTAAATTTAAATATCAAGTAAATAAAATAATAGAAAGTTCATATTTTGAATAAACTCTAAAGAAATTCAGTAGCTGAGCTGAATATTTGATCAGATAGTCCTAGTTACCTTAAGAGTACTTCCTATGTTTATAAATCTGCCCCACCAATGAATGGATTTATCTTATTGTCTACTGCTTTCACTTCAAACCTTGAATTACTTCTTCTATAGTCTATTGATCTGCACAATAGGTGTGGATTTTCCCACCTCATAGGGTCTAGTGCGTCCACCATCCCTAGAGAGGAAAATCACAAGTTTCCTTCCTTATGTTGGTTACGGTCGAATACCCAACATAAAGAAATTTCCTATACTCCGCAGTTGTTGTCCGTAGAACCGCTAACCTAAGCTCTGATTACAACTTTGTCACGACCCAAATTCCATGGCCGGACCGGCACTAGGGGCGCAGGGTAAGCTTAAGGCCCCCGAGGCCCGTAGTAAGCCCTGAAACCCTTAAAAATTTCTCAATATAATTTTAAACATTTAACCCATATTTATCAGTTACAATATTCCACAGATCGGGCCCAATTAACATTACATCACATTTTTAATATGGCTCACATAATTATATCATCTATGTTAATACCTGACTAATTATTCACAAATTCTACAACTGCGGAGTCACTAACTATTTGATATACATAGCTTTTTATACATATAGTTACATAACAAAATAATTCTGGAACTAGGAAAATTTCTCTACTGCCCTGTGCCGAAGAAATATAGCCTAAATCGAATTAAAGAAAAACTTACTTCCTGAAAAAAAAAAAAAATCAAACAAGACATGTGAGTTTTCTAAGGAGTAATAATTTTTGCACCACACACGCGGTCACACAAATGTGTAAACATATTAATCTAGTCGTCCGACTAGTTATATGCTCACGCAACCAGTCACACAAATGGGAAATCACCAGCACTCACAATCATTAACATTTTCATATAATCACATCATGTGGAAATTGATCTGTGGCATCACCGAAACCCCCGATGAGCCGTCCTCCCACATACCCATCCTCTCATATCGTGTGCACCAGGGAGCCAATCCCCCATACTGGCCGACCGGTCTAATCCTCACTTGACCAGCTTTCTCATTGTTTTTCCATTCTCTCTTTTCTTTTCCATACCAACAGGAGGCAACCCGGTCGTCTCCATCAAATCTAGATCATCAGGCGCTCACAACACGTCCTCATGCAAATCTAAATCATCAAGGCGCTCAACAGGAAGGCCCACCTGCGGGCTTGCGAATCAAATCTAGATTATCCCGGTGTGGCCCAATAAAGAAGCAACCCTGTGGTTTAACAAAGTCAAACGGTAACGGTGGGGTGGGCACACGGGGGGCACGGCGATCTCCTATTTACACGGCCGACGGTCCAGTTTCATAATTCAATCATAAATCAGGAATTCCATGCTTTATCGACCGTCTCTGACAAACCCATGGTGACACCACTTCATCCCAATTCCATAACAAACAAAGCCACAGCAAATATCACAACACAATTAATCAAAACATCTGCCGATCATAATGCAAACATATTAATTCCATTTAGACATCCAAATCAAATGGCCAATATAAATAAATAAATAGTAATTAACAATAAACACATAAATAAAATAATATAAATAATAACAATAATAATAATGAAAATAAATAAATAAATATGTATAATTAAATGAATAATAAAGATAAATAAATAAATCAGAGCACTATATTTATTATGTACCAAGTTATAGAACTATCCAAATAAACTTATTAATTTATGTTTGTTATTAAAATTTTAGTCTAAGTCTCTATCAAATTTCGGCCAGCACCTCCGCCCCTAAATATTGGACTATCCCACCTGCTCAAAGTATCATCAGTATTATATATATTTTATCACCAAATGCACACAGCCCATCCGTTGGCAATCAACAAATTTAAGTTTTCCATCCTCCTTTCAGTACCCAATGCATGTCAACGTTCACCAAATAATATTCACAAATTATAATAACCTCCAACATATTCCAAATGATATTGTTAATTTGTCCTCTAACTAATTTAATCAAAAATAAATGTACACTTTATAAATAGGAACTTGCAATCGATAAGTTTAAATTCAACTATCCCCAGTTTTAATAGCTACCTAGCCTTTAAACCTTTAAATATTATAGAACTCTTTATCAACCTTCATTTCTTCATCCTTACTTTAAGGTAACAAACACATATTTATACCTTCATCAATTTTTAAATTAGCCACTAAAAATAAATGCTTCAAGTAAACTAAAGACTAACCGACTAATTTTTAACAAGAATTAAATCTACTCCTTCAAATATGCCATATCAAGCAATAATCTATATAAATGATTGAAAATAGCTGCTGCCATTATATCAAAGAAACCTTGAGTTATTGCTTAAACTCATACATCATATGCTACTTAACCCATTTCCCACCAAGAACTTAATTTATAACTTTTGCATTATACCGCAATAATTGTTCAAGCTAATTAAATTATTTGCATTATACCGCAATAATTGTTCAAGCTAATTAATTAAAAAGGCATGCTGCAATTTCAGGTTTCTCAATTCTTTCGCCATTTCATTTTATAGTTCCACTTAAATGGTACAATCAAGGTTTCTATCATAACATACCAAGAATTCAACCAACGACCAATAATACCTACAATAACGAATAATCATTTCCTTACAAAAACTCATAATAGATTCAATAATCTAACTATTTTGTATGTAAATTCAATTTATAGCTTCCATTTATATTTTTATTTATCAAAATTTCTTAGTTAATCATCATAACAGTAGCTAAGAAATTCTATTTTTATATCACTTCTTTTCTATATCAATTCTCCTATTCAGGATCAAAATTCATGAAATATATTGAAAGGGTTGAAAATAACTTACTCTACTCGTCGGAAATTCAAAAAGGAAAACAGATGGAGCGACTGAACAGATCGCAAACCATGATCGCAGCTTCGTAGCTTGCTGTGTCAGCCGGAACGGGAAAGGAGGGAGCAAAAAGGGAGACCCAAGCTTCGTCGTCGATAGAGAGAGACTGGTGTCGTCGGAAAATCGAGGAGCAGGAGGCTTGACACGACTTTCCGATCGAAGGATGTCGCGGCTCTCCTGCGCCTTCTGCGTATGCCAGAAACGAAAGAAAGGAGAGAAGGGGTGTCGGAATCCGCTGTGGCGAGGAGGCTAACTTGATCGGCTCCGGTGGCTGAAATGGGGAGGGAAGGAGGAGGAGGGGTCGCGCGTTGGCACTGGCGCAAGGAAGGAGAAGGGGAAAGAAAAAAAGAAAAAAAAAAAAGAAAAAAAGAAAAAGAAAAAAAAGAAAAGAAAGAAAAATCTTGGGCTTCTAGAAAGAAAGAAAATCTTTTGCTTCTAGACCAATCCGGTTCGATTCGAAAGCCGGTTTGGTCTAATTCTATGATTTGGCTGCAATTAGCTTGGTTCGAGTTTTTTCGCTTTGGTTTTCAAAAAATAGAATTGGGTTTATGGGTCCACGTTTTAGCAATAATAAAATAACTAGCTTGGTGTAATCTTATTGGTTGAAATAAAAATTTTTATTTTTTAAATGAAAAATAAAATACTAGCTGGTGTAATCTTATTGGTTGAAATAAAAATTTTATTTTTAAATGAAAATTCTACGAAATTAAATTTTCGGGTCGTTTCATATATACACTAGATAGAAAATAATTGATTATATTAACTGCATAAGTTAGTCCAATACAATAATTAGTCGCGTGATTTATAAAAAATTAATGATTTTTTTTAAATAACAATCCATTAGGTATTATAAGATGATGATATCAATAAAATTTTCCTCACCTTGTCGCATCCAATCCATTTAATTCCACTAATTATATGTACTTAAAAGAGAAACTTGAGCCTCAAGTATTTTATTCTCAAATTTTTTTCACTCATTCAAATGATCAAGCTGCTTACACAGCACGAAATATTTTGCTCTTTACCATGTTTATTTATGATAAATACTTGCATGCAATGAGTATGCAATGAAGTAGACTTGCATTAAATAAAAAAAATTATTCTAATATTTGTGATTGCAACTTATATTGGAATGTATTTCCCTCGCTAATTAATATTACAAGAAAACATAGCTTGTTTGAGATATCAAAGGGAATTAAAATTTGCCTTTGAAACAAATATTGAGAAGACAAAAATGAAAAATTTGCTCAATTTTTTTTTAAATTGTAGGTTTTAATAAAAAAATGAAAAAAAATTTAAATGAAATAATCAGTGACTGCGGCCGAAACCACTGCTATGCCAACAACTGCGACTCCAGAAACCGAAGCACCACTTGCAGCTACAGTTGGTGATTCAGCAGAAGTGCTCGACTCAGTTGCTGATGCACCACCGGATGGTCCTTCAGCGTCACCTGGTGCACCTGCAGCATCTGCAGTATCATCGGCGGGTGAGGAGGCAGCAACAGGGGTTGTTGCAGCGTCGGTTTTGGTAGCAGCAGCGCCTGCAGCAACGGGAGCAATTGAAACAACACCAACAATGGCTACCGAAAGGAGGGCAACAATAACAATCTTGCTTGCCATTTTATTGAAAGAAACAATTTTTTTGAATTTTTTTATTAAGAGAATTTCTTTATTGTTCTTTTAATTATTATTGAATGATTAGAACTCTTTAACGCTTGATGAGATATAGAGATTGGAATGGCTTATATAGTAGTTTGCTTTAAGAACAAATAGACGGCACCTCGCGCTTCACGCGAACGTGTGATATTTATATTTTCATTTAAATTATAATATAGGTGCAATAAGAAAATCAAATACAATAATACAATTAATAACAACCATCAATCTTAAAACAAACATAATGACAATAAAAGAAACTACTTTAATAACTAATAATCAACACTACATATTTGGATATGTAAATTACTTCTTTTTAAAAATATATAATCAACACTGTTTGAAGAATTTATTCAAATTTCATAACTTGAAAACCAAATTTTAAAGATTTTAAACTTACATACTTTTTTGCAAGTGTGCAAAATCGCAAACAAGTAATAAATAATGAGTAGAGTATTGTCCCACAAGGATTGTATACCAAGTACTAAAATTGTGTTAATCTATTATTATTTAAACGACAATCAGCGTCTAGATAGGATTTAAGCTTGATTAGGCATGTTAAAAAGCTTCTCATGCAGGTCCATGCAGGAGGCATGGGCTAGAGCTGAAGATTTCGGCCCAAGATGGATTTTGCAATTCAGCATGGACGTGCTGGATGTTACGCCCAGGGCGTGCTAGCCTCTGACCTTCAATAGAATAGACCAATTCTTCTTTTATTGGGGGGAGGGGGGGGGGTTATTGAATACATCCATAATTCTGACAAGGATGCTGGATGGCACGCCCAGAGAGTGCCAGCTCTGGAAGGTTTGCTTAAACACCACTTTCTTACTTTATTGACTAGTTTCCTATAAAAAAAATCCTACAAAATTCCTCAAAATTAAGTGAAATATGATTCAAGGAAAATTTATTGCAAAACATAAATATATTAACTAAAATAAAACGAAATAAATACAAATTAAAAGAAATCATAAATAAAATTTACTGAAAATAACTATAAAAATAAAACATATCAAAATTCTCCAAACTCAAACCATTTCTTGTCCTCAAGCAACAAACAGAACAAATAAGATAAAATTAAAACCAAAAACACAAACTAGAAAAGAAAACTAACAAAGTTAGCTCAATATGGTTGGAGATAATTACTTACAATTTCAAAAATATCAAAAATTATTAACATGGGAATAAATCAAGTGTTTTCTATGCTAATTATATCCTAGCAAAAATTTAACTCTTAACCAAATACATTCCTTAATACAAATAAAAGTTAATAAGATCTTCAACACCAATAAATGTTCAAATTATGACAAACAAAAATATGAATTTTCAAAACATTATTAATCTTAAAAAAAGATGATGCTATTCAACATTCCCATAGGCAAAATTATTCATTCCCTCTCTAAAATTTAAATGCAGCACACTTATAAAAATCAAAAGGTCCTTGATTAAGGTTGTAATGGGGTTTTAGGGTTTAAAAATTAGTTAAATAAAGAAAAGGGATAAAAGATAACACAAAGTACCAAGAATGCATAACATCTAGAATTTAATTATACCAAAAAATATATTTTTTATTTATAGTGGAGATTAACTTGAAGTTCTTCACTAGCTCAATATTAGATATGCTTTGGCAAGGTCTCTTCATAATTCTTGAATAATTTTTTCCTTGTCAACAAATCCCCAAACTTGAATTTTGAATGTTTGCTTTTTCATGGGGCATTTCTCTTTGAATTTTCTAATTTTTCTACTTGCTAATGAAAAGTTCTCCCTTTAAATCTCTTGCTATGTTTTAATAAAATCAAATCTTTCAATTACTCATTATTGCACTTGGGGAATGGACTTGAATAGGTTCAATGGCTGGGTTTAATAAGGTTAAACAAGAAAAATCTTTGGTTATAGGCTTCAAATTGGTTGCAAAGGTCATAATTCAACTTAGGGTGGCCTATGCTAAATGTGAGTTATAAACAAAAAATGTCTAAATCATTTTTTTTATGTGAGCATTTTAAAAGTTTTGTTTAAAGGGGAATTCTAAATTATTCTAGAAATGCTAAGGTTAAATAAATTTTGATCAAACATAAATATCTATCATAAAAATTCTCAAAATTGGTATTTATGATCTTAAAAACAAATGTTTAAACCAAAGAATCATATTAAGTCAAGAATTAAAATTTAAGTTTGAATGTAATTAGACTAGAGAACAACTCAAAATATCAAAAGTTTCATAAATAATGATAACTTCTGATTTTGCTTATAATTATTTCAACCATATTAAGCTAAAAATAAACAAAAATTTTAACTAAAATTTCCCTTCTTCCAACTCAATCTAGCACATTGTCCTCAATGTCCCTTATCATAAAATCAACAAAGTGGTAGAATATGAGAGTTGAGAAATCATTACCACCATTGTATTGAAAAATACAATAAGAACCAAGGAAAAGATAAGATAAGAGCCGGGCGTGCTGGAAATTATCAAAACTACGAAAAAGAAAAACTAAAGAAAAACACATAATATCCAACATACTGAAGGCAAATGAAAACAAGGTTCGAAAATAAACTAATAAACAAAAGAAACTTAAACAAACACTAGAAAAGACAAGAAAACTAAAAACAACTAAAAACAATCACTCTGCATGTGGTGGAGGAGGATGTGGATGCAGAAACTGAATCACCATCTGGAGTTAACTACTGATTCCCTGATACTGGTCTTGCACAGTGACCATGCAAGACTCGAGACTCCTATGCATAAGCTCTATGGACTAGAACCGTCGAAAATAAACTAATAAACAAAAGAAACTTAAACAAACACTAGAAAAGACAAGAAAACTAAAAACAACTAAAAACAATCACTCTGCATGTGGTGGAGGAGGATGTGGATGCAGAAACTGAATCACCATCTGGAGTTAACTACTGATTCCCTGATACTGGTCTTGCACAGTGACCATGCAAGACTCGAGACTCCTATGCATAAGCTCTATGGACTAGAACCGGTCAAAAACCATGGTCTTCATCAACTAAAAGCGAGCATCAAACATGTCTATCCTAGAAATCATGCGTGTGAGAACCTCTTCATTGGACATGTTAGACGCCGGCTGAAATGACAAACCAGCTTCAACTGTACCTACAACAGAAAAAGTACCCAAACCAGGAGAGGTATGTGGAATAGCCTCCTCTGAGTGTCATCTCCTTGCTCATTATCACTTTTATCATCTTTCCCAACTGCACGTCTCACTAGACAAAACGTGTCACCTATCTTCTCTACTATCTTCATGTTGTGAATAACATTTATATCAATTCGACTGCTTTTTCCTCCTTCTAAAATATCATAAACAGAACAGACAGGATCCCATGCTTTGAAATAAGATCCAATCTGTGTAAAAAAATAGCCCGTCATATTAGCACCCTTATCCCCCTAGCAATTCTAGCCCATTGCTGACAAAGCTAATTTCCCACATTCAAACGTACCCCCTGATCAATGGCCCAAATAAAGTATAATGCATTCAAAATCAACAAGCCATGACTTTCACCCTGTCCAAAATTGTGATAGCTAGGATTTATGAATATACCTGTATGTTGGGTTTCGTAGCTTAAAAGCTTTAAAGTACCTAGGGTTATAACCACTCAGTCCAATTAAGCTAATCTATTTACTACCAACTCTAAAATCCTTGGGGATGGTACTTTCAGCAGTCTCTGTAGGGAACCCAAAAATATGGCTAACCTTATCCACTGATAATGTATAATCCTTGCCAAAAAGTATAAACTTGATTTTATTTGAATAATTTTCATGCAACAAAAAGATATCACTCGAATAAGAGCTTAAGAATTCTAGAGTAAGTGGTGCATAAACAAAATCCTTCATGGCAACATATCTGTCCCACCCAATTCTTTTTAATGGTTCTAAAACTGTATCTCTAAGGCTTACTTGTGCTAAAGCATTCTCATCAATGAAGCGATTTGGAAGAATAGGCCTTAAGGAGAATTTTTCATACCTTTCTTTTTGCTCTAGCATGGAAAAAAGGAAACGTGGTGGTGAAGGAGTAGCAAGTGTGGTGGAACAGTTGTCGTTCCTCTTGAAGACTGTGTTGATAGAGGAAGTGGAGGAGGAGCTAAAGTGGGGGTTGTAAGGTGAACTCGTGCTGCCATAGAAGCGGCAGATTTGCTTCTCTTGTATCTTGGAGGCATGGTGAACAAGGAGAAATCAAAGAAGAAGGAGAAGAAAGCATTGAGAGAGGGAGTGTGAAAGGTGAGAAGTGGGGGTTATGGGGAGTTAAGGGCTTTTAAGAGGAAAAGAAGGATAGGGTTTGGTTTGTGCGTGCATTCCAAAGTAAACACATCTTTTAAAGTTTTGAAACTACAGCGGGGCATGGGTGTGTTGGATGGCATGGCCTGCCCATGCTTGCTTCTGACTTACGTAGTGCAGGTATGACACGGGCTGTGCATAGGTGAGCAGGCCCTAGCTTCGACTTCTCCATGGAGCATGGGCATGCTAGGCGAGATGCCTAGCCCGTGCTAGGCTCTGAACCTGTAAAACAAAAAACTGCACTTACCTAACACGGGCGTGCTAACTAAGGCATGTTCAAGTTTGAATCTTTAGAACAATGGTGGCATAGGCCGTGCTTAGGCAAGCACGCCCAGCCTTCGACATCTCACTAAAGCACGGGCCGTGTTGACTGGCATGCCTAGGGCGTGCTTGATTCTGGACCTGCAAGACAAAATAATCGAGTTCCTACCTAGCATGAATGTGCTGGTTCGCACGCCCTGACCGTGCTAGATTCTGACCCTGGTATGATTTTCACCCTCAAATGGCATGGAGGTGCTGTTTAGCACGCTCAGGGTGTGCTAGAACCTGACTTCCAAATTTTTTCGATTAGCATCCAAGCTCTTTTGAGCCCTTAATGGACCTGAACAAGAGTGTAAGAACAGTAAAAGAACAAAAATGTTTAAAAGATGGGGAGAATGATAAAAGAAAATAA